AGAACACAAACCCTCACTCTAGAGTGTGCTGATATGAATTTAGCTTAACTATTTTATAATAAATTAACGTTAAGTTACCAGGACCAGGCTTTCATACAAATGCCTATAGTTACTTAAGTCTATTTACCATAACATTTTATTTATATAATAGAGCTAACGATTAAGACATCTACATGCATGTCATTTCAAGCAATGAATATCCGAAAAGATCAATTTAAAGAAATAAAAACAGGTTGCACCATTTTGTTACGTTTATTATTATTATCATATAAATATACTACATTAAATTGAGTGAGAGCATTTACATCCTTAAATTTTTTGAATATGTTGAAATGTAAAATAGCTTCTATTTCAGGGGTTCAGATTTGACATATTAACCAGATTTTGTAGCAGCTAGAAATAAAGCAAAACTAGCTTTGAAACTGAAAATTTCTTAACCAGTAAACGTATTTAACTGTAATATGATGCACCTGGGTTTGAATCCCGGTTGTACCAGGAAGGGCGTCCAAAGTAAAAACTTAGCATTTCTGTAAGGAACTTTCAGAAATGAAGTAGAAAATATCAGCAAAGAGACAATACAAAAGGATGCAGCTGATCTGGTATAAGGATTACCTGCACATTACAAAAAAAAAAACAATATGAAAGAAAATATATTTGTCATGAAGAAACTAATTTCAAATAATTGTTTGATAAAATCTCCTTTGCATGATCATATTTCATGTGGATATATTTCACACAAATGGTATTAAGGTTACAAACGCCTGGACTTTAGCCACCAATAAGGAAGTAGTCTCGGAAGGCATCATAAGTAGACGATGATGTGCAATGGCTGAAAAACCTGAAATGTGTTGCCGGATATTTTGATTCTCATGTCTTATTTTCTAGGAACATGTTGGGGTTTTTTTTGGAATGGAAACTTTCTAATACGATTACTATAATACACAATAAAAAGGGATCAAGGTTCTATCGTCATATAAATTTATGATGCATGCTCTTTATTATATCATCAATACTTTTCATCTAAACAAAACACAGTAAAGGTTAAGTTACTCATTTTAGATCTTATCTCTACTGTCCACTCAGTCACAAAACCTGTGACATAAATTTCACTATCGAAACTCTATGAATGTCCACAGGGACTCTCTGTAAACATCTGTGCACGTCTCCCACTTTTTGTTTTCCTGCTAACTGCAGCAGCAATGCTCCATCCAAAGGGTGACACTAAACTCCCAGAAACCAGGTCACAAACGAAGAGAAATTCAATTGTGACATGTTGTGTTTTCTCAAATATATGAATCATTTTTTCACACAGGAACAAGTATAGCAAAAAAAATTGATGTTGTTGTGAAAAATAACCTTTTTTTTCATAAAGTTAACTTTTTCTTCTTCCCTGACAAAAACAATGAAGCTACAATAAAAAAACACTACATTGCTTATTGAAAAACTTTTTTCTATCTAATAGTAGTGAAGGCAAGTTGGTCAGGTTTGGAAAATAACAAGTAAGTTAGGGACCTTAGAGAGGCGAAAAAATTAATCATGAATGCTCATTAAATACAAATGGAGCAGGTGTGATGGGTGATATGCAGCTCGCTCAGAAAATGGACCCCGCCACACACACCATAGGCCTAGCTTCAGGCCTAATAGAACAAAAGGTTGGTCCTAGATTAGATTAATTTAATAAATATTCATGATTTAGGTTAATAATCAAATAATCACCCTTTTCAAAAAATGCACTTGTTATTTTTCACAATAAATGACACTCGAGTACTTTAAATCAAATTAAGCATCCTCTTTCTCCTTCAAATATAAAAAAACCCTGTGAAGATGAGAAGATTGTATTTATCATAACACAGAATGAGAGAGCGTTAACTACAGTAAATAAATGTTGACTGAAAGAAGAAGAAAAAGACATGATACCAATTTGGTCTTCCTTAAGCTGAGTCTTAATGCTTGATCAAAATCTCTGCTCTTTACCATCGTATACTGACTCTATTAATGTTTAAACTCAGCAGCGTACAGAGGGGGGAAAATGTGCACTACGATTTAAAATGTAATAAAATCTTCAAATCAATTCTATATTCTTCGGAAACCAGGGCAGAGAGGCCGAAATTGAGCTGCAATAGTTTACATTTGTGGAAAACATAATTTATATGTATGACTGTGTGTGGTGGGAGCTTTCATAAGCACAGCACATGGTGCGAGATGGCCATCCGGGAGACATAAATCAAAGTAGTGTGTGTAAGTGTAAAATGATTGGTAATCTTGCAACAAATTGCAAAGCGGGCCCCTATTGGAGTGCAGGATGATTAAGCTGTGATGAGATCAGAGACCTCTCTCAAGTCTGTGATCAACTGGTCAGTCCCTTAAGCAATGCGGTGCTCCAGTAACTGACTTGTTATAAAAATATACTTAACAGGGCCTGAACCCAGATCCGTGGCAGAGACAGAGGGTTAGAAAAAGAGAGGCGATGATGCGGAACAGGCGACCCTGGTATTAAACTGCTGCATGTGTGCATCTTTCAGCTCCACCTGCTGTGACACCAAACCTCGAGAAGCCATCTGCTCCTGTTGTTTTATCTCTTGGAGGAACCAGCGGGGCCATAAGGATCCCGCAAACAAAGACTCCAGAAACAAGCTGTTCAAGGCGCGCAGTCATCTTAGACAGATACCATTTTTAGGACGTCTTTTGTTTTTGTCTGTGCAACGACATGAATTTAAAATCAAGCACATTCTTACGAGAAAATGTGTGCAACTCATAAGCCAGGTATTTACCAGCCTTTGGGGCATATGCCTAATTTGTTCATTTAATCCTGTATGTTAAAATAAAACCAAAGGTCAATTTGTGAGTGTTTGGCTTTAGAGTAATAAAGAAGAAAAACTCTCAAAGCTTCATGGATCACTAAAGTGTACATTTGAAACAGACTTAACATATAATGAAAGGGAAAATCTAAAATTAATCAGAGGGAAAAATTAATGTTGAAAACACAAACAGGCTTTGCACTGCATAATGCAATATCGCTATGCAATGAAGAAATAATGAAGCATGTTTGATTCATAAACGCTTACTTTTATATCTCTTAGTTTGACTAAAAATAAATCTAATCGGTGGCACTGAGCAATTATACATATCTCAATAAAACTGGAGCAAATTACTCAGCCAGTTAATGGCACTGCACAGTAAATATGTCTGCCAGGCTGCAGCTAACACCATAAAACTTCATTTCCTTAGGGGCCAATACCACTGACTTCAGCACAATAAAACTGCTTTGTCTGTCAAATCCTCCACAATCTTTGGTGGGATTCACACATTGACTAGGGGCGATTTTTGTAGCTTGTAGGTGTGGAAAGTGAAGGCCCTTGGAAGAGAAAATAAGAGCCATAAGGAAGGTCCATCTGTCAGCAGCAGAAGCACAGCAGAGAGCAGCAAAGACACAAAACAATTAGGTGGTAATATGGTTGCAGGTAGAACAGATGCAGGTCGAAAGCAGAACATTGTCTCCAAAGCGAAGCAACATTGACAGCATCTTGTTGGGGGATTTGTGCGAGTGCAACAACACTTGAACTGCATAAATCCCTGCATACACACAACTCGCAGCAAAGAGACCTCCTCTCACACCCACACAGAGGCAAGTTCCAGAAATGTTGCGAGACACAAGCAGCACCAAGATGGGAAATAAGAGGCATCCCACTGAGAGAAGTGAGAAGGAGAGAGACAAATGAAAAGGGAGGAGGAGAGGGTGAGAAACGAGAGGAAAAAGACAAAATGAGATGTAGCAAACAGAATAAAAGTGGTAAAGAAATAGAAATGGATGATTTATCTTGTCAATGTTGGAACGTTGTTTCTAAGCCGCCTGTTTATTTGGAGCTGGAACACCAAACACATCAAAGCTTTGGCTGCAGCAACCAGCAACAAAACTTGCACTCTGCTGACCCCTGAAATCTGGACACCTGTGTCTGTATGTGGACACGCCATGTGGGAACGGTTTGACCTGCCAGCAGGGGGGAAACGCTCCTGTTTGGACATTACTAAGTGAAGCATGCAAACTAATTATATGAACCCCAAATTGTCCCTCCACCTCAGCTTCTCCTCCTCCTCTTCATGAAGCAAACAGCACTCGCTGGCCTCACTGGCCAGTGTTGAGCGATCACACAGATGCAGCCACATTTGGCAACGCTCAAAACAAAACATGAAGCATTGGTGAAGGAGAAGAATGGATGATCAACAATTATCTCACTCAGGGTGAACGAAGAAGGGATGCAGCTCATGTTGAGATTGTTTTTGTAAACCTTACAATGAAATCTGACAAAAAAAAGATGATATTTGAAAAAATCTCCATAACAAAGTAGATAGATAATAGATAAAGTCTTATTTTTTACAAAAACAAAGGAGAAAAAGGATATTGGTTGAGAATTCACTTGACGAAGTGTCCTTGTCTTTATTTGATAAGAGTTTCAGTCTAATCATTATTTAAACTGAATTTTTCTTGTCTTGCAACTTTTTTCTGCTGATTGAGAACTCCAAAAGTTGCATTTTGCAACCTATTTTTTTACCACTGTCTCTTCATCATTCATTCACAAACTGTTTGGTTTGCAGAACAAACCATGAACTGTAAAGAGGAGTTAATCTTTCATTCTTTCTTTTTTTTTTTTTTGTATTTATGAAATCCCTGTCAAATATTTTATACTTGTTAGTAATTTTCATTGTAAAAGCTTAATTGACTGATTATTGGTTTATTGGTGTGAAACTAAATATGATGTGTTTATAGCCCAAATTTTGATTAAGTTACACTTTAATCAAACTGCTGTTGTGTTTTTTTTAATCGGTTAAACACTGTGGACTTATTTCCATTAATAAAGTTAGACCTATATCAGACTGCTAAGTCGTTTAAGCGTCTCTAAAATGCTTCAATGGATGGAAAACCGTTAATCATCTACATCATGACATGCAATCGATTAAATACAGCATCTAAACGCAATGCCTGTGAAATCCTTTTTTCTTACTTTAAGTTGGTTTGTCGTTTTCCTTTGATTGCGTCTCGGATGTCTGGATCATATGGCTTCAGGTGGGACGCAGACGCAGCGCAGGAGCAGCAGGAGCAGCAGGAGCGGTGAAACCTCGGTGGTCTGCGCTCTAGGATGATGTGCGGAGCGTCCGGACTTTCTCCTCCCCCTTATGGAAGAGGAAAGACAGCGGATCGGGGAGCGCGCTCACGAGTGCGCGTCAGCGGCACGAGGACCGATGCGTCTCCGAGGCGCAGGAGAGGCAGGAGCTCAATACCTTTAATTTATAAAGTAAGAAAAACAGGCAGCAGCTCTGATCAGGGACACTGAGGAAGTCTACATAAAACTGCTGGTTAAGTTTTTATTTTCAGAGAGCTGGAGAAACTGCTTTGTTTATAAAAGGAAATATTGATCTTTTTTTATGTAAATAATTTCATTAAGCTTATAAATAATTTATTTGCCCATGACTCTCATGATATTTGACTTCAGCTACACTTCTCACAGTAAACAGCAATATATACTTTTGTTTTTCTTTTCCTTTTTTTTTTAATATAAAGGCAAACACTTTTTCTGTGATGGCTTCTTATAGCAAACAGCATCTGTTTTCTGACTCTAGAGACCTACAGTAATAAAGTCGATTACTTTTACCATTATCCTACTTTTTACCATTATCCTACCTGAAAGCCAAATTGTTCGTTGCAGTCTGCAGCTGCTGTTTTGTTTGTGACCAAAATCACAAAGTGAAGGCTGGACAAAGGACAGACTAAATAATGGTGTTGAAGAGGAGAACCAGCAACTCCTGTTTAAGGTTGAACTTTTTAAGTTGCTGCTGTGATGACAATCTTTGCAGGGACCATCATGTCCTGAGAAAACATGGTTCCTAGGAGCCGGAAGTGAGCCGCTGTCATCTCTACAGACCAGTGTGTCCTCAATCAAACCAATGAGAGTGGTATGATCTGCAGCTTTTAATAGATGGAGAAGCTGAGGTTAGAAGAAAAATATACAGCTATATTAAAAAAAAGTATTTCACAAAACAAAATCATTTGAACTTTAAACAGAAACATGTTATTAGAACATAACATATACCCTACAGTGCGAATGCGCCGTGCATGTGTTTTAAAATGGTATATTTTTAGAGTAAAGTTTATGTTGTATTTTTAGGTTTAAGTACATACTGCTATTAAACATTTAAATAGTATAAGGAAATCTAAGTAAAACGTACTTTTCCCCCCAAATTCATGTATTACATTAAAAAAGTTGTTTTTTTACTGAAGCTTAAAAATACTGAGTAGAAATTCTATAAGAGAAATACTCTTATAAAATTTACAGCACCAAAAAGACCCTTTTCTCATTGTGTAAAAATAAGCCTATAGTTATTTTTCGTGCTCAGTCTAAGTCAGATTAAGGCAGTTTATTATCAGCCATATGCTCAGTTCATCCACACTTTTATATCATGTTCAGATCAAACCACATTCTTCTTGGTACCAGATGTATATTTATAAACCAACATTTGCATTTTACAGAACCCCTGTTGGTTGTATTTAGAGTGGAACTGGCATGAAGATAATTAGATAATTATTTATCCATCCATCTATGAGGGGATAAAGACAGATTAAAATGTAGATACATTCTTTCCAATTTGATTTAAAGTAGTAAAATAATGCAGTCCAATTTCAGTTAACATCACTAACTGCTAAAAGGTTATGTATGTAAAAAAGCCAAGTAAGCAAGTGGTTCTAATAGAAAGCAGCAGCTTCTTTTTAACTGGGAGAGACCTCGTCCAGAGCCAGACTCATTATGAGGGGCCATCTGCTATAACCACCATGTTTGTGAGGTCAGAGGAGATACACTAAAAGAGACACAGCACAGAAAAGCAGCTTAACATATGTGATATGTTCTTTGTAGTATGATACAAGTTAATCATTTGGGGTTCAGAAGTCAAGAAAGCCTTGAAATGATCCTTAAATTGTTAAAAATCCCAATATTTATAATCCTTTTATCTAGTGAAATTATGATTTATTTTAAATTGTGCGTCAAAAAACAGGCTTTATGAAGAAGATTTGACATAAAGGACTTGGTTATTTGAAATCACGCCTTTTTTTCTATGTAAATGTGTCTGGTTTGTTATTAATCATGATCTGATCTGATGGGTAAAAAGAAATAAAAAGCGAAACATTTAAGATTCCTTCATCTAAAGTCTCTCTAATAGTAACTAGAAACATCCATCTATTTTCTCCCGCTTAGTCCATGTCAGGGTCCTGGTGGTGCCGGTGCCGATTTTCAGCTGTAAGTGGGCGAGAGGCGGGGTACACCCTGACACACAATTTAGAGAAGCCATTTACCTAACGGTCAAGTTTGTAGACTGTGGGAGGAAGCCAGAGTACATGGTGAGACCCCATGCATGCACAGGGAGAAGATAGAAACTCCATGCAAAAAGAACCTTCCTGCCGCAAGGCAACTAGCAACCCACTGCACCACCAGGCAACCCTGACTAGAAACATTTTTATTATTTAAGAAACCTCCATTTGTTTGGGTGTATGTAGTATTGTCAGAAAGTTTATACATTTAAATACTTTAAGATTTTTTTTTTTGAAAAGACCTGCCCTCTCCACTTAAAAAATATGCACATGCACAACTCTGTATTCCCTCCTAAGAGGAAACGTCTATTAAACGCTTGCTAGAGCATGCAGGAGCCCATTTCTCCTTGTGCACGTGTTGTTTAAAAGTTGTTGTTTGCATCGCTCATCCAAGCTTACTTTCCAAATGAAGATTTGCAATTTTTCCACCATGTCAGACTCACCAGTGGTAAGTGACCATGGGGACGAGCACGTAGGATGGCCTCACTTAAACATATCACCAGAATGATTGACAATTACGAGGACCACTTATTTTGATAATCAACCACGGAAAAAAAAGATTGTCCTCTATACCTTTAAAGGTTCTTTTTCTTTACAATACTGGAATTTTTTTTTTTTTTTTTTTATATCTTCCCATTGACCACTATGTTGAATATCTTTAGCAGAAATTTTTAAACCTGGACAAAATTCAGTAATATGAATTGTTGATGAACAGCATATTTCAAGTCAGCCCAACCAACTGCCTAATAATTATTTAAACAACTTTCCAATAAACAAGTTTACCAAAAAACTGGTTAAAAAGTTTTCCATTGTAATGCTGCTGTAGCTAATGTGTAATAAGGCCATTTATCGAGGTTTTAGTATTTTTCAGACAAGTTCCCCAGTCTGATAATAACTACTTAGTACTCATGTATATCAAAATCCACGAGTGCATCTGAATAGATGATAATTGTTTTCTAAGCTAATAATCAGAGAGGAGTAATGTGAGAAATATTTGTATTGTTATTCAGGAGAAAGTTGAGGTTTGCTACAGCAAGTATTCTCTGCAGTGAAATCTTGTCACTGAATCTTTGATAGGCTACTGACAAGCTGCAGAGAATCCAGCAAACTCATTCTGAATTTACACCCTAAGCCTTTTGTTTGCTTCATAAAAATAATGCTGTGTATTTGCCGAATAATAGTTCATATATCGCTTTTGGGAATCGGGCGACATTTAGATATATAGGGTTTAGCTGGGTTTTATGGAAATGAGTAAACAAGTTGTGCAAAGATGTGATGTAAATACCAACAACAATGACAAAAACACTGGATGCAACAAAGAGTCTTGGTCTGTAAAAGAAGATATTAAATATTTAGTATACGAGAGAAATTAACATTAAGTGCTTTGACAACTTGCTTTAGGAGGACTTCAATTTTACTCTGGCAGGAAAATAACATAAATTAAACATAAAGTCTTTGGGTTTATTTAACATAACTGCATGTCTATTTATTTGTGAATGTTGCATAAATAAAACAAACTTAAAATTAAGGTAAGAAGAGGAAAACAAGATTTTTACTTTGTGTTCATCATATGCTGGTGAAGGTTCTCAGTCATCCAGGTCAAAGTCCTTCCAAAAAAAATGAAAAACAATTCACTGGACTATATTTCAAGTTGGAAGACGTTTCGCTTCCCATCAGGGAAGGTGAATGTGATGAATGTGTTCAGCATAACACCTTATTCTAATCAAGAACCACAGAGTTGAACTTTGTCAGCTATACGGAAAAAAGGATGACAGGAAAGAATCCCTGCAGTGTCTCTGTGACTTCTTTGAGACTGAAAATTTCTTTTTTAGAGATCATTAGGGAGTCAGTGACACATTTACAGAAGGCAAAACCTTTTTTTTTTTTTTTTTAAACATCTTGTCACATGTCTACTTTTAGCGGTGACATCGGGACTCAAACAGTAACAAGAGTGACTTCACCTTCTCCCCCCACCAATAGCAGTAAAGTTATTTTCTTAATAATTTGCTGTCAGAGAAACTTGAAAGCTTTGCTCAGAGGCTGTATGGAAACATTTCAGCTATTTGTTATTAAACCTTATATAAAAGCTGTATCAGAGTTATTGCTCAGAGCATTTTATTGCTCCTGTATTGTCATGGGAGCCATTAAGTGTGCTGCTGCAGATTTACTGTATTTCTGTCCCAGATGTGCTTCCAACCTCCTTGATTTGATGCAACAACATTTGTTAATATATAAGGTATAAACATAAAGTAATATCTTGTTTTAGAGTAAAAATATGTATTTTCTTTAAAAAAAAAAAAAGACGTGTAAAACAATAATTTCTTACATTATGAACCAGTTTCAGCACTTGACTAATTATTAAAAATGATGTATCTTGGGAAAGCATGTTTTACAGTTTAACACATTTCAATTTCAAATGACAAGGCTAAGTAGTTTATTACTGTTAGATAAAAGGAGAATAATCCTAAATGATAATTTTCCTTTTTATTTTTCTTTATGAATTTGTCAAATGTGTGGTATGCAATCGCTTTTACTTTGACATTCATATGGAAAAAAATCCACTTCAGCCACTTGGATTTAGAAACCAAAGTAATTCCTTTCTACTGTTTATCACAAGCCTTTGGAAACAAAAACAAAAAAAACATGAAGAAGGAGGTCCTCTGGCTCATGTTAGCAGCATCACATGGGGATATGTTTCTTTAGCAGGGTCTGGTTTGAGATGATAGGAGGATGACTGGAGCTAAGTGTGGGCTAATCCTGTAAAAACTTGTTAGGGGATCCGAAAGACAGAGGCACTCTAAATGTGCTGTAGAGCCAAAGTTAAAGCAGAATACTTCAGATTATCTTGGTGTATTACCATTGCCCAGTGCTAAACCTATTTTTTGGCAAGAAAAAAAAAGTTACTTCATTAAATCCTTCTCTGTTTAATTTGACCGAGCATAATCTAATAAATAAATAAATAAAAAATCAAGAAAAGAAGAAGAATGGGTCAACATTTCTGTTTCAGGATATACAGTTCCAATAGATATCCTATGCCAGAAAACTTTGTGTTGTAGTTGCAGCAGAAAGTCTTTCTACAAAAAAGAAAATCATGAAAAAAAAAAAAACATATACAGCAATAAGATATGCTTTATAAGAAGAATATCTGTTTATATT